TAACTTGCTGATTCCACTATTGAACCCATACCATGATGGAACCTCCAGCGTGTTCCACTGTGGGTGCGTCTGTGATAAAAACGTTCTCCAGACCGAAGAGTTCAAACTTGGACTCATTCGTCCAGAGGACCTTCTTCTAGTCACCAACAGTCCAGTGTCAAATCTGAGGCGTTTCTGGATGTTTGCAGGCCTCAGTAAAGGCTTCTCAGCAGCTCTTCTTCCCTCTAAGCCTTGTTCCATCAGTCGTCTCTTATGGTCACTCTGGAGACCTTCTCAGACTCTGATCTAGAAGCATCTCTGGCTGAAGATCAGCAGTGGTCTTCCTTCTTGTCTCTAGTCCTTCAAGTTCAATTCAGTTTTATTTGTATAGCGCATATTTACAACAACAAGTCATCTCATAGCGCTTCACAAAGACAGAGGCAGAAACACCCAACAATCCAAACATCTGGATTCTCTATAAGCTTCAGCAGTCTGCTGGTGGAAAGGAACCGAAAACCCCCGCAGGGGAAAAAAAACCTCCGACAGAACCAGGCTCAGGGAGGGACGGCCATCTGCCTCCACCGGTTGGGTGGATGTAGGATGAAGTCTTGAGGTGTCTACATCTACTTCAGGTACCTTTGGTTTCCTGCTTCTTCCTTGGAAGAGAACCAGTGTCAGTAACTGACTCCAGATCATCAGAGACCATCCAGCATCATGAAGAGCTTTGATGCCACTCAGCTCTCCATGTTTTACCATTTTGAACAGGAATGAGGAATTTAAACTGAATTCACCTTTTTATATGTAAATCTGAGCCCCTGGGCGTCTCTGAGGAGTCAGACATGAATCAAGCAGAACATTCAGCCACTAAAGCGAATGGTTCTGTTCAGGAATGACAGTACATAACTATAATCTGACATCTTAATCAAGAAATAATAATAATGTGATTTCCTAGTTTTTCAGGTGTTTGTAAGACAGTATATTTGACAATTCATGGACAACAATAATAATCATCATTAAAAACATCATTGTGGTTAAAGAGCTTCTACGTGCTGGTGTGTTAATGGTTACAGAAACATAAAACAGGATTTTGGTAAATGCTGTTAATTTAGGGATAAACATTGGGTGGTGCTCTAATGCATTTCTTAAGCTCTGTGTATTTTATTATATTGACACACTCTGCTGAAAGTATCTGCTGTGATTTAAGGTACTTGTTCATGATATGTTCTGATTTATTGTACGGTCACTGCACAACGTTAATGTTCTACAGAGAATATTGAACAATATTAGTACCACTACTACTACCAGTATTATAAAACATGTCCTCGTATGAAACATGACTCTTGTTAAGATACTGCAACAATAAAACCTGTTAAACACCAATAATGAGGTCCAGTAATAAAAAACACCAACACCTCCATGAATTCACTGCTGAGCTGTGAGTGAATTATCTTTACTAACATACCGACGGGTTTTCTGTTTAATGACTGATGTTAGAAATCGTTATGGCTGATGTTCTGTCTGATGTTCTGTCTGATGTTCTGTCTGATTCAGATGATCAGAACCACCAACGTGTGAACTTGTCATCAGAGAAAACAGAAACTCTGATCTGAGCTGCTGGAAACAAACTTGTATTTTTGTTTTACAGACCTGAATGTGTTGATGTTTCCAGCAGAGGGCGCCGTCAGACCTCATATAACCCGTCTAACCAGTGTAACTAGTGAACCTGGTATAGATTTTTTGACCAGTGGAACCAGTGGAACCAGTGGAACCAGCGGAACCAGTGCTCCTCAGATCCTGGCTCCAGTTGTTCCAGTCTGTGGTTTCTTTGATGTTTCCAGACGATGCCGTCTGAACATGACAGAATCTCTTAGAAGGAAACCAGACTGGGAATCCTGCTGCAAACCAGAACCTCCAGAACTTCCAGAACCTCCAGGGTCAGCCTGTAAATGTGGGATTTGGTGGAAGCAGCACAGAAACCAGAGAACACCAGTGAAGTTGTGGAAACAGAAACATTTCAAGCAGCTCAGAGGTCGATGGTGGTTTCTGTGGAACATTTCAACAGGTCACATGTTGTTAAGCTGCTTTTCTTTTCTGGGCGGTGAAACGTCTCCTGGTGATGCTTCTCCTTCTGCTCCATGTTTGTCAGCTGCTAACTACTCTGGGATCCGTATTGAACTCACATCAGTTTGTGCTAATGAGACACATGTTCGACTCTGAGGGCTCAGATGTGTGTGTTTGGTTTCATTCGTGAGCTCAGCATTTTGTTCTGGTTCTGTGTCTCGGCAGCAGGTTGACGCTGTGGATGGACGCATGCAGTTAAAACACTGGAACATGTGAAGCTGTTTCCACTGATCTCATCTGCTGTGAATGCAGCAGACGGAGTGGCTCCAGATATCTGAGAGTCTGCAGGCGACTGGAGGAAACCCGTTCATTCAGAATCACATTCTGGTTTCTGTCAGAGCAGCTGGAGGCCTGATCCATTCAGAGAAAACATCAACATCTTCTGACAGGTTTGATTTGCGGTACAAGTTCTTAGTGTCAGTTCAGTATTCCCAGATTGAAAACTCGATGGAACATTTCCACATCAAAGTGCAACTGGAAGGTGATCGAAATGTTTAAAGTCTCAGACGTGATGTCTGAGGCGTCGTATCCATCTGTCAATGTGCAGCAACAAACCTCAACATTTCAATCTGCTTGAATCAAAGCTCAAGACGTCTGTTTCTGCTACAACCAGTTCATCTGTGAAGATTCTCAGTCCTCCAGGTCATCGTCATTCTCGCAGTTTCATCAGATGGACCTGCTTGAGGTCCTTGAAGACGTTTCACCTCTCATCCAAGAACAGTTCAGTCAGAACTTATGGAGCCTCTTGGATGAGACCTGAAACATCTTCAAGGAACTCAAGCAGGTCCAGTTGCTACGATTAACCTACGAGAATAGCTGGTTCTAGGTCTAATCTAAACCAGATCAGCTGAATGTGGTGTTGGACAGTTTGTCGAATTGACTTGATGTTCAAATGTCAGAAAGAGTTTGAGAGAAGAAGGAAAAGCAGCAGAGATGAAGAAAGCAGGCGGAGCAGAAACAGCTGCTCCAGATGTTGGTGAGTCACAGCGACAGCAGCTGGATGAAGGTCTGCTTTATTCACAAACTGGATTATTTGGTACAAACATGAAAACCAGTGAAACTGAGCTGCAGCTTTCTGTCTACGTGGCTGTGACACTTTGATTTCAGGCTGTAAACTTCAGGAAGCGGCTTCAGTCTGTGTCTGTTCGTTAGCGCAGTTTGTTAGCGTAGCGTGAGAAGCTGCACATGCGTTGTGGCGAGCGGCGGGAAACCTGCAGCGTCAGTGTTTCCCAGCGGTCCGGCTCTTGCTCGTCCTGCTCGGCCTCCTCAGCAGCTCCTGACGCCGCTTCTCGTTCAGGAGCTGCTGGATGCGTTTGTTTTGCGTTCGTTCGCGAAACGGTGGCATCCGTGGCACAAAGTAGTTCTGCTGCCCCCTGGTGGCGTCGCTGTCCAGCCCCACGATCCGGTACGAAACCTCATCCACCGAGTTGTTGTCTGTCTTGGAGAGCGGGAAGAACGACGCCGAATCCGTGTCCGTCAGCGTGATGTTACTGTGGAGGCTCCGCCCCCCTGATGATGTGGTGGTGATGATGTCATCAGGTCCTGCTGTCTGGCTCCCACCCTCCACAGTTACCACGGCAGCTGTAGCAGGAGGACTTGTGGGAGTTTTCCTCTGGAAAAAATGTGGTGGAACAGTTTTCCTGGGACGCCTTGTAGGTGTCGTAGTACTAGCAGGAGTAATGGTCATAGTGGTACTAGTCGTAGTAGTGGTAGTGGTTGTAGTACGCAGAGTCTCAGAGAGCAGCGACGGATCCTCGTAGGATGAGTACTCGTCGTAGTCGTCATACTCCACGTAGATGAAGTCGGCGCTGCTCCTGCTGATGGGGGGTGGAGTCACTGTGAAGCTGGGAGGTGGCGTGCTGATGACATCACTGATGACGTGGCTGCTGTCAGACCAGGTGGACGCTGATGTCATCATCTGTGTGGTTGGAGTCCACGAGCTGGGAGATAAAAACAAACCAATACTCAGTCAGTAACATGAAGCAGCGTGGCGGACGAATACAGAGGAGCGACCTGCTGGAAGACATGTTCAGCACAGCGGCACTTCGTTCTGATGAGCTACAGGAGTTATAATCCACTAAACGTCTACTGGCGTGTTTCATGTTCATGCAGCAACTTTTGGTCTGTTCTGATCCATCTTCTGTCTGACCTGATGTCTGCTGGCAGGTTTGTGCTGCTGGAGTTGCTGAAGTTGCTGGAGTTGCTGAAGTTGCTGGAGTTGCTGAAGTTGCCCTCGCTGCAGGATTTGCAGCACATCTGCTGGTATCCGGCAATAGAGCAGTACCGACTCAGAACCTCCATCCGACAAAACACAGAGCGGTCACCGCGGCAACGCTGCCCTGGAGACAAAGCAGGTGAACAATGAGTTCAGTGGAGGAGGAAGATGAAGATGAAGGTGATGAAGAGCAGCAGTGAGTGGTTTACTGGAGGAGATCTTGGCAGAGGGGAAGTCTGGGTTGGACCTAGACAGCCAAAGGACGATGGCGTTCTTCTGGTCGCCTGCAGGGGGAGACAAACAGCCATAAACAGAAACTACAACAACAGTATCCCCCTCTTCCCTTCAGAAAGCTGCCACATGATTGGCTGTCGCGTACCGCTGCAGGGCGGGGCCTGGCAGGTGCGAGTTGTCATTGGTGCTGGTCCGCTGCAGTTTGAGGCAGATCCCTCCGGACCGGAGCAGGCGACCTGACGCTCCTGAGTGCCGTTTCCACATGAGGCCGAACACTGCACACAGAAACCATTGATCGATGAGGTATTGATCACACAGAACTCAACCTACAGCTGGTGGCGGCCATCGTACCGGGGTCCAGGGCCCCACCCTCCAGGCGGCAGGGCAGGGGAAGCGGTTGCAGGTCCGTTTGGCTTCCGGCCGGTCATCTCCACAGAGGTTGCTGTTTACAGAGCGCTGCTGCCCCCCACTGGACGCCTGCTGGCAGCTCACCCAGCGGCGCTGCCACCCGGTCTGCCCACAGGAGGCACTGCAGGGCTGCCAGTCTCCGGAGAGCCAGCTGAGGACACAGAGGAGGTCACCTGACGTTTAATTGGACGACAGCCATGACACCGTGGTAGACACAGTGGCGACCGCCAGTTACTGTGTCACCGTGGTGACCAGCAGTGTGGTACTGTGATGCAGTGTGTTACCGTGGTGACCGGCTGTGTGTTACCGTGGTGAGCGGCAGGCCTCAGTGTTGCAGTTGCGGCTGATAGCTCTCGGCTTGTTGATGTTGGAGCAGAATGTCCTCTGAACCATTTTTCCATCTGCCTTCCTCCGGCAGCCAAACCTGGTGTACTGTTTCCCTGGCAACCAGAGATCACCATTAGCTACGTAAAGCCGTTGCAACGTTAACCAGTAAGCAGGCAGCTCGGTGATGCGTACCTCCTCCGCAGGGTTTGGAGCAGTGCGACCACCTCTTCAGCGCCCACTCGTAGAAGACAGCGTCCTCCTGCACCAGGTTGGACTCCAGCGACGACCGCAGGCGGTCCTGGATGATGTACTTGTAGGAGACCGTCACCTTGGCGTCACCGTGGGAACGGACCTGTCAGACAGAACAGTCCGTTAGCGCTGGCTCAGACTTGGCAAGGATACGCTGGCTCCGTGACGTCGGACTGACCATGAGCAGGATGGCGTACTTCAGCGGCCCGGCGGTCTGCAGCGACTCCTGCTCCTCCGTGTTGCTGTACTCCCAGGCCACACCTTTCTCGATCACTGCTCGGGATTCTGGGAGCTCGTCTTCGTCATTGAGGAATAGGTGACCCGTCTCCAGGTTCTTCACGGCTGCAGCACAAGTCACGACAGCAAGGTTTTAGTAGAAAACTACCAGTGACATGCCGCCTCCAGACTCTGGCTCCTCCAGGCTCCACCCCCTCTTACCCAGGATGTGAGGTGTTCCTTTGAACTCCTGGATCAGCAGGTGACGCGCTCCTTTAGGGATCTCCAGGATCTTCAGGTACCCTACGAAACAATAATCAATCAATAAATAACCATCCAACACAAAGAGGCTCAGCTAGCATGTTCTGTTTCTGATTGAGTTCAGGGTCTGGATTAGTTCTGGTTCTGGGTCTACAAAAGTTGTGGTATTTTTTTCTGGGTCTGGACAAGTTCTGGTTCAGTTTGTGGTCTTGTTCAGTTCTGGCTTTGGTTAATTTTGGATTCTGGTTTAGATCTGGGTCCAATTTAGTTCTGGTTCCTGTTCAGTTCTGGCTCTGGTTCTAGTTCAGGTCTGAGTGTGGCTCAGTTCAGGTTCTGGTTCTGGTCACCTTGCTTCTTGGTGCTGCGGGTGAAGTTCCCTTTGATGATCTTGCAGCTGGAGTTGTCTCCTCCACAGATTCCACATCGATCCTCCTGCTGATCCGACGCAATCTGACCGTCACAGCCGACATGCTGCAGGAGACAAGGAGACAAGGAGGTAGGAGACAAGGAGACACGGAGGCAGGAGACAAGGAGACACGGAGACACGGAGACAGGGAGGTAGGAGACAAGGAGAAAGGAGACAAGGCGGTAGGAGACAAGGAGATAGGGAGGCAGGGGACAAGGAGGCAGGGAGGTAGGAGACAAGGAGGCAGGAGACAAGGGAACAGGGAGGTAGGAGACAAGGAGACAAGGAGGTAGGAGACAAGGAGACAGAGAGGCAGGAGACGGGAGACAAAGAGACAGGAGACAGGAAGGCAGGAGACAGGGAGGCAGGAGACAAGGCGGCAGGGAGATAGGAGACAAGGAGGCAGGGAGGTAGGAGACAAGGAGAAAGGAGACAAGGAGGTAGGAGACAAGGAGATAGGGAGGCAGGGGACAAGGAGCCAGAGAGGTAGGAGACAAGGAGGCAGGAGACAAGGGGACAGGGAGGTAGGAGACAAGGAGGCAGGGAGGTAGGAGACAAGGAGGTAGGGGACAAGGAGATGGGGGACAGGAGACAAGGAGGTAGGAGACAAGGAGACAAAGAGACAAAGTGATTCGAAGTGTAAACTGTAAGAAATATAATCATTTAAAAAATACTTGTGACAAAAAGAAGACGACTATCTGAACACAGACAGGAACACAGAGACACAGGAGACACAATAAAGACCTCACACTCTCCTCGGACGCACACACTGAAGGCGTCGTCGTAGGAACACGGCGTCCCATCATGCACCATTCTGTTCATGGAAACCACCGCCGCCGTCTCCCGGGAACGACAGAACAACCGACAACGCTGGTCCGCTGCAGACACACAACACGTTACTGCCGACACACAACGCTTCACTGCAGACACACAACACGTCACTGCAGACACACAAC